CCTGACACACCTCTCTTGCCTCCTTCACATCCATACACCTACGCATACATGCTCGTCGGTTAAGGGTACTCCTAATTTGGCCCGTTTTCAATAAGTCGCCAATTTGGTCGATACATTTTTGCCTAGGACGTCCCTTTCCGACTCTGCCATTCACTTCTGCACCATAAATTTTCTTTGTCACTCTTTCCTCATTCATTCTTTCCACATGACCAAACCACCGAAGCATTCCTTTCTTAATCCTGGTCACAACATCATCTTGCAAACCACACTCTTCTCTTATTACACAATTTCTTACCCTGTCATTCATATTCAGCCCTAACATACTCCTTAACGACCGCATTTCTACTGCGTTTATTCTACTCTCGTGCTTCTTCTGCCACACCCAACTTTCACTACCATACGTTTAAGTAGGGACCAACACAGCATTGTGAATTGGGCATGGGGATGGGAGATATGATAAGGATATAGAACGACGAGTGAATGCGGGAAATAGAGTAAATGGGGCCTTGCACTCTATTGTGAAGTTGTGAGGGGTTGGCCAACATTTACGCTTTCCTTCCCTTGCCTCATGTTCCAGCAGAATAGGAATTACGCTCTTAATCCCTTCATTTATCAATGTATGGACGAATTAAGAGGTGAGCGCACCGAGGAACTTGATGCGTCGCGAATACAACGTTTGCGAAAATAATTTTAATACAGTTTTAAAGGATATGAGTGAAAAACGAACACACAGTCTACCTGATGGTAAGTAGATGCTGTAGCCCATAGACATCTACATTTATCTTCGACTACGAATTAAAATGCTGAAACTTTGTCACCCGTGATGACTAAGACGGAATGCCTCGTTTCCATTAAAAGGGGTCTCCGGGTTTCTACATTCACCATACGAAACACAGCAGTATTAAGCTGGTATTTTACGCTGATATTCTGTGAGAGCGTGGTCCTTCCCCGGTAGAGCCGAACCATTCGTGATAAAATTATACTAGAAATATAGCTGCAGCATGGTTCACCACGTTGTACCATATTGTGATGAAGTCAAGTTAGAAATATTTAAAAAAAAAGTTTTTTACTTTATGCTTTTGTTGACACTGCATCAGGAGCTGTAATTTAACATATTTCTTCAAATGTCAACGTTATTTGCATCTAAATGGCGGAAATTACATCTACAAATGATGAACCCAAAATCCTTCTTCAATTTTTCCTATTCATTCCATTCTTTGAAGATAAATAGGGGGTCTCAGTTTTATCTTATTTAATTTAAATTAAATAAAAAATATAGTAAAATATAAAATTTTATTAAGAAAATGAATATTAAAATAATAGTTCAATGGTGATAACAATAATTGAAAAAACCCAGTTGCTTAAAGAAGTTTACTTGAAAGTGAAATGTATTCCCAATATCACTTCCACAAGTACGAAACATCTAATGACACCCCCATATGTTAAAATCCATCAAGCCGTTTATGCTGCAGGGCATGCCAAATAAATAGATATGCACACATATAAACTCCCAAAAACATTACCCACTAACTCGGGGAGTCGGATGAAAAAATATTAAACAAGCTTGAAGGTTAAAACAGTAATTATAAACCCAACTGCGTTTAACAGTTTACTGAAAATATATAAAATGTATACCACGTCCACAAGTAAGACAAATCTAATGACACCCCAAATGTTGAAAGCCATTTAGAATACAGAGTAAAAAATATACCCTCCTACTGCAGTATTCATAAAAAAAGATATAAAAAAGAATATTTATAAATTATTTAAATAATCGTAATTAATAAATAACTCATATGAATTTAAGGAGACTATACACCTCAGCCTCAGTCACGATAGGAACGAGCACTAAAAATGAAACAATTTTAACCGTATCATAGTGAAATAATAAAATGGAGGCAGCGGGGAGCAACAGACCGAACAATAAACTGTGAGAAGCTCTCTATGGCGTAATCGCTGCGCTTTGGAGAGCCCACTCCACTGCACTGTTACGTGGCAAGTTTTAAACATTACACTTTGGGATATAACGAGGGCGCTTTTTAAAACATTTAGGTTTCATTTTATAGCAGTTTTTCACCGCAGAAAAGCCGCAACTGTAACTTCTGTAAGTATAGATTACCCAAGGGTCACTCATTCAGGATATGTTCATGTATTATGAATGGCTTGCGAGAGACAGTTAGGCATGTAAAATCGTACTTGATTAAAACACTGAAACGAAGAAATTCAAATTATTGCAAATATAATTTGAATGAATAGAGTTAGATTTCTTTTTAAAAAATGAGGATGACAAACGAGTACAAAGTCCATCTGCTGATGCTATGTCTCATAGACAACTACATTTACCCTCCATTAAAAATGAAAACGCATATGCGTTGTCACCGCTGAAGACTAAAGGTGGAGTAAATGGTTTTTCTCGTTTCCGGTAAAAAGAGTGTCTGGTTCACCTAATTTAATGCTGCTATTTAATGTAACTAGTTTTTTGTTACGGTTTTTATCGCGTTTGTAAATTTATTTTTATATACCGGAATTTTCAATGTATTCAACGTACCAATGTCAAAATGGTTAGCAACTGCTACTTTAACGATCTTCTACCATATCTTTATTTATATTATATTATATATCGTATAAAAGTGGCCGTCTATGAAATATAAAATTGACGTGACCAGAATAAACAAATATAAATTGATCTTTTCTAAGAATTACAGGCCGTATTCTAGAATTATCCACGTATCGTAGCACTATTGCTCTATGACATGGAGTTGAGAATGCTTGTTGCACTCGAAAGTGCTCACCCTAATCCGAAATTAAGCTAACATTTCACAACGCTATGCGCTAAGACGTAGCCTACAAACGGTAGGCGTGTGCAATGGCTACGGGCAAGCCGTATTGCTACTACAAACTCGCTTACTACCGGCACTAAGATAATATTCCCAGGACATATCTGTTAACGAGTCCAAGTTTACATCGGTCTCGGACGCTGTGATGCAGTCTACATGCCACTATAATAATTATTTTCAAATCCCGTTTCTATTAATACTTTTACATATTTGAGATCTTCCACATATTTGTTTTATTTCATAGACCTTACTTTTATATATCTTTAATAGATAGGACTTCAGTCCACAACTCTACTATCGTAATGCTTATGCATCATACAGACCTTCTATACTAATGCTTTTGTATCATAGAACTTACTATCATATTATGCCTTTAATATGGGACTTCAAACAAGAACTCCGCTTTTATAATGCTTTATTATGGATTTTAAAGACCAATAATAATGCTTTTGTATCATAAACCTTTTTATTATAATAATAATAATAATAACCATAATGTCCTCCAGACCGAATTTCGGTCACGGCGGCCCGCCTCAACGGAGACTAGCCATCGGCACAGGACAGGATTATAGTGCCCAAGTGTATGCGCAAACACAGGTGCACTGTCACTCTTATAATCGGATGGGACGGTAAACCGACACGATCGGGGAGAGATCAGGCGCAGGACCAACGGCATTACGTGCTTTCCGAGGCACGGGGGTGAGACACCGCCAACTTCCTGACTCAGGGCAGCTACTGAGAATTTCTTAACGGAAAATACTCAATAATTGATTTTTTGGCCCGACCCAGGATTCGAACACAGGACCTCATGACCAGCAATCGCACTACTACAAACACTAGACCAACGAGGTAGTCGATATCATATTACCACAAGTCAGTAAGATTATTATCATAAGTCCCTAACATAGGTCCAAACATTGTGCTACAGTACTATAGTACCTACTGCTATTGTAATACTTAAGTAGTCAGCCACCTGACCACCGCATATATTGCTCCACCCCACACATTGAAATAACGCGAATATTTACAGTATCGTGATAAATGTAGCCACATATTCGTGAATACTTTGTCACTTCGTGCGAAGGCGTAAGCGATCTTCTTCCCTGTCGGTAAACTCTCGCACATAAAAGCGGTCTATTGCGTTGGTATTCACTTGTACTGTCACTAATTGGCCATCTTCTGCTCCCTTCTCCCGTTACCAGCAAGGGATTGTTTTAAAAAATAGCAATATATGTTATCTCCATACAAAGTTTCACAACCTCTGCCCCTGCTCCCTCTACCGTAACGGTCTGCCCTCAGGCATCGCGCGTAGCGGATTTGTTAAAGTAAAATGGAATTTATAACGTATTTTCAACAGTGACAATTTTTTAAGTAATGAGAAGATAAATAATTTTATGAGATATTTTGAATAAATAATACAGGCGTCTAAAGCTTCATAATTATTCACCGCCATATAATATAGAGCAACCATGGCGTCCGTTTACAATGCACAGTGTGGCCAGGCACCTTAGCCGTACGCTGAAAGCGAAGTTTGATCGCGATGTGTGTGGCCTAGACACATATACTACAGCCAATGCGAAGCGATTGCGTAGCTTTTTGATAGATTATACGAGGGTAGATTGAAAAGTACTCGGCCTAACCAAGAAAATAAACACATACTAAATCAGTTATATTTTTATTTTTCTACATAATCACCATCAAGTTCAATACACTTTTGCCACCTCCCCTTCCAAGCATTTAGACCGTTGAAAAAAAAATGATTCTTCCTTAGAGTCAAAATATGCGTCTACAGCTGCTTTGACCTCGTCGTTTGTCGAAAATCTTTGACCTCCTAAGTGCTTTTTTAGGTTAGGGAACAGAAAGAAGTCTGATGGTGCCAGATCAGGTGAATACGGCGGATGCGGTAACAGTTCAAAGCCACAGTTGTGAATTTCAGCCATTGACTGTACTGACGTGTGAACACGGGCGTTATCTTGATGAAACAGGACTTTTCTTCTGAGCATTCCTCGACGTTTTCCTTTTATTTCCTCTCGTAAACGACGTAGTAAGGTGCAGTAGTAATCAGAGTTTATAGTCTGACCCCTTTCAAGATAATCAATCATAATCACACCTTTCGAGTCCCAGAATACTGAAGCCATTACCTTATTTGCCGACAAAATCGACTTAGCCTTTTTTAGGGGGTGGTGAACCAGGTCTTCTCCACTGTTTTGATTGTTGTTTTGTTTCCGGTGTACAGTAATGAACCCATGTTTTGTCCATAGTAACAAAACGATTCAAAAAATCATCTGCATCGGCTTTAAATAACTCCAAACAGTCGCGTGAAATAGTCAATCGCGTCCTTTTTTGTTCAACTGAAAGCAGTCGCGGAACCCACCTCGCAGACACCTTGTGGAAACCCAACTCGTTGACAATGATGTTTTGAGTTCCTTTATAAGAGATGCCTATAATCTCGGCTATCTCTCTAATTTTTAATCTGCGGTCTCCCATTATTAAATCAAGTACTTTTTTAATATTTTCGTCAGTAGTTGACGTCGAAGGCCTTCAGAGCGGGGTTCATCTTTCACACTCTCTCTACCACGCTTAAATTCTGCTATCCATTTTTTGACGGATGAATATGATAGAACGCAATCGCCTAATGTACTGACCATGTCATCATGGATGGCTTTTGATGATAGCCCCTTCTTATGGAGGTACTTAATGACGGTACGCTGCTCGATTTGCTCCATTCGCGGAAATTATGTCCGATAACTTTGTTAATAAATTTAAAAAGTTACAACTAATTATCGCACACGTTTCGAACTTCACACAATGAACTAGTCTGAACTGAACTAAATAATGTGGGTAGATTTGATTTTTAGAATTGAATGGATCTGTGTTAGGCCGAGTACTTTTCAATCCACCCTCGTATATTTAAGTAGACAATATAATTTTAAAAAATCTCTAGCAAACCAAAAAACAGGCTTTTTATAAATATTGTTATAATTTAAGTTATTGTATAATGTAGATTTAAATTAAATAAATGATTTCTGCGCCATCTCTTTTCTGTATGAGTATTTATCATTAGGCTTTTTTCATTCACAGTAAAACTAGTCACCTAAAATTAAAAATAAATTGAAATGATATACATATTTTACTTTAATGCATCTTTAATAAATTAAGAAAAGTTTTATTATTACAGTTGCTGTTTTTTGAATAACTTCAAAATAACTCTAAAGTATACTCCAAACGAAGAAGTTTTAATTAAAACTACTAAACATCATTCATATATATACTATTCCTAAACGAGTACATACCTTTGAATAAAACTAAATTTACGGATTTTATCCGTCCGATTAATATTCAAAAACTGAAGGTAGCCGGGCTAACAATGACATTGGGACGTCAAACATCTCAGTCCCCCCCGTGACCATGGTTGCTGTAAAGCACCCGAAAGGTCGGGAATTAAAAATAAGTAAAAGTAGTGAAATAAACGCGATAAAATCCGTAAATTTAGTTTTATTCAATGTGTAGTGTTCGCGTAAATTTAAGAAATCATTACGAGTACATACCTTTAGACATTTCTTTTTCGGAGAAGTAAAATCTGGTAATTTATCTCTCGACGTACTTGGTTGTGGCTTCATCATTAACCACTCGTAATAAAAAAAAAAACAATTATCAACAAAAGAAAATAACAATAATTAAATAAACAAAAATTACTAAAATAGCCTCCCGAATGTTGGCGAACCCGTCTTGACTCTGACATGTTTTTGCCGAAAAAACGAGACATTACGACTAATACACAAGATGGATAGATAAAGTAACAGCGATAGATAATAGATTGTCAACTCCATAGTCGTTTTTAAGGTAAATGACCTTTCTTATCGCTGCTAGTTGGCCGTACTTTAATGTACACCCATGTGTCCGACAGCTCCCGTGTAAAAGCAATATTTACATAAATACGCTGATATATTACAAGAACACGCTCCATAAATAAAATGTTTGACCAATTTCTCTTTATTTTCATAATATTATGATCGATTTGGATTTCTATTATACCTGTTGCTTCAAGAGATGCGCACTTTAGATCGTACAATACCTACCTTACGTCCGCTCCAAAGGAGCACTAATTAGATCAGAATTACTGCCCTATGAAAACTTTTTTTTAACTATTTTTTCGTTTTAAACAAAACCAAAGACACTATGCAATAGATAATAGTATCAAAGACAAGGACATGCTCTTTTATTTTAAACCATAACCTGGCAATGTTTCTTAGAAAACAAATAAAAAGAAATCACCCTGAACTTTCGGCGTTCCACGTGTCGCTTTGATGAAGGTGCTCCGTCTTTTTTTATAGAATTTTATATTTGTGTCAAAAAGTTGTGTAAAAACGAAAGTATTATACTTTTTTATATTCCTTGTAATATAGTAAACACGAAGATATATAATTTGTGGTATAAAAAGTGAAAAGTAAATTGCCAAAAGTACTTCAAAATCCGGAAGGCCCATTTTGGCGGTTGGGTCATAAATGTGTTATTTTTCAAATTCTCGTTTATTTTTAGTGTAAAATGTAAGTAAAAATAGTTTTCTTACATATTTCAAATAATTTGACGTTGTATTTATTTCAAATTCACACTAAACTATTTTTGAAATATTGTTCGAAATGTCATACAGATAAAATATTATTATTATTTTTTTTATTTTTTTTATATTTTAATATTTTGGTATCATGTATGGAAGTGAATGCTGGGCCGTCAAGAAGAAGGATGAAAATAAATTGCATGCGAATGAAATGAGAATGTTACGATGGATGTGTGGTGTGACAAGGATGGATAAGATAAGGAATGAGTATATAAGAGGAAGCCTGAAAGTGGCGCCAGTGGTAGAAAAGGTGAGAGGAAGCAGATTGGCATGGTTTGAGCATGTGATGCGGAGGGATGAAAGTCATGTCACAAAACGAGTGTTGAATATGAATGTGGAGGGACACACGGGCAGAGGAAGGCCGAATAAAAGATGGATCGATTGTGTGAAGGGTGATATGAGAATGAAAGGAGTAAGTATGGAAATGACGGCTAATAGAGAGGAATGGAACAAGAAGATTTACTGCGCCGACCCCAGATAATGGGAAATGGTCTAGAGAATGATGATGAATATTTTGGTATGAGTAACGAATAGAAACACATAAAACATAAAAATATACATATTTCCAAACATTTTCATATAAATTTCTCCAAAAACAAAAGTGTAGAATTCAAATTAGTAGTAATTTTGTCACTAAAATTGAAGTATATACTACTACTATGATACACAGGGTAATTTATGTATTTTATTACAATTTCTAGCAACCAAAAATAATTTTATTCGATAGTTTATACATTCAACAAGAAATCCTGTAAGTTTTATCCATAAATATTGTCTCAAAGTGAAAATATAGCAAAATTTGCAATATAGCAAAAAATTTTCTAACTTACAAATTTTCCCGCCATTAAGGTCCCGAGCGAACGGGAGTATAACATGTCGCGCGCTGTCAGAGCGTACATCATAAGGTTTTAATAAATTTTATGATTTTTAAGATCAATATTAAGCCTCTGTTATTATGTTTAATGTATGAAATTAATGTATTTTATCTTTGTGCTTATTTAGAGACTTTTAACTGCTTAAAATAATACTTTTGAGATATTTTTAGACGGCTTTATATAAAAAAATTTATTATATATTAATAATAATAATGCAACGTCATACTATCTTCAGCCTAGAACCATTAATTACCGGTCAGATATACGTAGAAAAACTTACAGTATCTTGAAACCTTGCTGTGTTATTCTCGAATTTGGATTGGATTTGACTTACTATAGGATCCCCAGCAGATGGTAGTGCCCAGGGACTTTTCTATTGAAATTAAGATGTCTTTTTATTACAATAGCTTCTCGTTTCATACTTGATAAGGAAACGTTACTCTTTTGCGAGTATTTGTGGTCTATTTAATCAGATGTGATAACGTAGATAATCTTGAACACGTTCCAACAAAGATACTACACGATGAATTTTGTAAATTTATTAAACGTGTTTAAACCCACATAAATACTAGTTTCATTTTTCTAATTCACCACCAAATACAAGGTACATTAGCACTAAAGTTATAATAATCAGTCTTATTGGTGATGGTTATGTTTAAGACGACTGCTTATACCCATAAAATAACACAATAAACTAACTTAATCTAAAACAAAATTATATATGAATAAAAAAGCCTAATGATAAATACTCATACAGAAAAGAGATGGCGCAGAAATCATTTACCCAATATCTTCCTGTGGGTTTCGTAAAAGGCGACAGAGGGAAACAGGCAGGAGATGGGCAGCAGCATCTTCCTGATAACAGCAACTGTACGACAAAAAAAACTGCGGTTGCCAACCCGCTCGCCAAGCGTGGAAAATATGGCAATATACCCCCCATGAACAATTACACAAATAGACGGCCCCCAGTCCCGACGGCCCCGCTATTCCTGGCTACGGTGGCGACCATGGTAACGGCGGGGCAGGGGGTGCTAAGAATCTCCGGTAGAGGTTCGGTTGCCACCTACGATGACTCGACCTGGCAACATATAACGCACGCACCCTGAGGACTGACGAGAAGATCCTGGAGCTGGAAGAAGAGATAGACAAGTTGCGCTTGAATATTATAGGATTATCCGAGGTCCGAAGAGAGGGGGAGGACACGGTGATTCTCGAATCCGGCAACTTGTTCTATCACCGGGAGGGCGACCATCTGTCCCAAAGAGGTGTCGGATTTATATCGACGAGGGTCGCGTACCTGATACTCAGAATCACCAAACATAAGTGCGTAAGTCATACAGGTTTACGCACCAACCTCGGCACATCCCGATGAGGGGGTGGAGTAAATGTATGAGGATATTTCCAAAGCCATGCATTCCTCCAAAACCCACTACACGGTGTTGGTGGGAGACTTCAACGAAAAGCTAGGCACAAGAGAAAAAGGTGAGCTGAAGTTAGGGAAATTTGGAGTAGGTCAACGGAACCGAAGGGGCTACCAGCTGGCTGACTTTATGGAGAAAGAGGGACTCTTTATGATGAACTCTTTCTTCCAGAAGCGGCCCCATAGGAAGTGGACCTGGTCGAGCCCCGACGGTTCGACAAAAAATGAGATTGACTTCATTATGACGACCAGACGCCAACTGTTCAGTGATGTCTCAGTGATCGCAAGGGTGAAAACTGACAGCGATCACCGAATGGTTGGAGGTACACTGAACCTAAACGTTAAGTTGGAGAGGTCTCGTTTAATGAAGTCAACGCTCTGTCCCCCTCGTGCTCTAATCCAGCATCCCGAAAACTTTCAGCTCGAGTTACGTAACCGCTTTCAGTGCCTACAAGATTGCAATGCAGTGGACGATATGAATGACAAGCTCGACCCGCCGCAGAAGAACACAAAAACTCTCCGATCACACTCTTAATCTCATAACTGTTAGACGGGAGATGAGGCTGCAATCGTC